ACACACGACTGATTTATGCCACAAGATGCTAAAAGTACATATACCTAAGCAAATGTGTTTCTGGAAGAAGACTGTTCTTTTTCAGGGCATTTTGATGGCACTTTGTTGCATGGATGAGGTAGATCTCTCTAAGATGAACACTTGCCTGATTTTAAAGTGTCTTTGAAGTTTTTAAATTAAAAATAGAGAAAGTATATTTATTATATACTTTGGATATATTTTTGTGAAAATCCTGTTTCCTTCATGATATTCCTAGTCACTGATCTCCAGAGTTAACATCTAAGCCAGGATACAACCAATGAATAATAGAAATCATGATATTTGTATGACATTTTCAAAATCTGTAAGTCCTTTTTCATTGTGTTAATAAAACAAGTATTAAAGTAAATTTAGCTTTTGTGTTCTAATAGCATTGTACTAGTGGATTCAAAATGAGAGTATTAAGGGAAGTTTTCCCAGAAGACATTTCCCAGAATTACCAGAGAGTTGTGTGCCAGAAGAAATAGGATGCTGACACACAGTCCCTTGGCTTGCTTTCCAATAGCACTGCACAGCTCACAGCTGCAGTGCCTCACAGCGCTCACACGCCGGGGCTCAGCCCCTGCTTAGCTCCAAGACAAAGCTTCTTGTCTTAATTCATTCCATACTTCCGATTTTTAATTGTGCTGCTAGTTTACTTAGTAAACAAAAGACAATCTAACAGATGTACAAATTTGTATTTATGAGGGAATTTACACTCCTCTGTTTGCTTGCAAGCTGCATTGCTGACACCCTTTTCAACAGCATTACTGGAACTCCTGAGCATTCCCAACAAAATCAGAATCTGTTTGCCCAGGGTTTTCTTTCACACACGAAAGTGAAGTCCCTGCAACAATGGATTTAAAATATGTGGATTTTTAAAGTACAAAAGGAATGTAGTTTGGTGATTTGTTTTTTTAACTCTATGCTGCTTTGGTATTTTTTTTTAATTTCATAACAGCAATTGGAAGTAGGAAGGCCATCTATTTTTAAGGGATTCATAATGAGCTTGTGATGACTTCAAGAACAAACTGAAAGGTTCCCACATGAAAGTGTGTGACAAGTCTGGAGCTGCATTCTCATGCTTCATGCAAGCCAGAAGCGAGGCCCAGCAGAAACCAGTGAGGTTACGCCTACAGGAATGATGCAGACTTATCCAAACTCACTCTAAACTAGGCCAGAGTCTGCCCAGGCCGTAAAACTTTGTCCAAGAAGCAGGATAAATATGCAATCAGTCCATCCGTCCCAGTAGAAACAACAATGCTGGATTCATAGCAGAGAGGAGAGAGTAAAAATCTCTGCACTTAGCAGTTAGGGCACAGAGCTCAGAAAGCAGATTGTAGACAACAGTCCTTGTTTCACAGGCTGTTTTCCTTTTCTTCAGCCACCCTTCCTGCTCTTCCTCACCTGCAGACACTTATTTGAAGACACCAATTTACTAAATGAAAAAGCATAATTTTTTTTGAAGAGTCTGATCATGTAGATGTGTGCTATATGTGATCTGAGACACAATCCCAGATCAAGACTCTCGTGGGACCTTAGGGCAGGATAATCTTGTCTACCGAGGCTGGAACATCCAATAGATCCTGAGCTTCTCCAGCCTGTGATTGTCTTGCCTCCAGCTAAGGTGCAATAAATTATCTTGCAAGCAACCAAGACTAAGAGCAGCCCACCACCAGGAGCTGCCTGAGAGCAGCTAGTTAGCTCCAAGTCTGCACACCCCAGCTTGTACTCTACTTGTTCATCCATATCCTCACGCTAAAGGTCTCACCATGACAAATAAATATATAAAAAACAGCATTCTCAAATGTCTTTGTGACTTCCACAGGATCAAAAAGTAATTCTACAGAATCACCTAAAATTAAAACAAGGTTTTCTCATTCTGACCCTGGAAGCCATGACTGCTCAAATATGAATTTCCCCTGAGTGTTTTTGAATTGCTTGTCCTCCTCAGACTGATACAGAGAATGTTATCAACTGCAGCACTACTCTGAAAATGGATCCAAATAAATACAAGCTGTGAATCCACTCAGTTTACAAGTGAAAGGACATATTTTTTTTTGTTTCCAGGGACCAGCCCATCACCCTGCTTCTAAGGCTTCTAAAGCAGCAGGTTAAACTCTTCTTTCATGTCTACCCTCAAGCACCTACCACCTTTTATGGATATCTCTGCGAGCCACGTTAAGATGAGTGATACTAAAAGCATCAACTGCCTTCAGAAATCTGTGACAGGAGAATGATGTTTCCTTTTTGAAAAAAAGTCACTTAGGAAAGCACACCCCTTGCTTGGCTTACCTTTTTCTCTCTATTCATGCCCTCCTAAACCTTGAAGCAATTTCCAGAACATATTTCCCACTGCTGAGAGGTAAAACACCTATTAATTTCAAAAAATACATGGCTGTTTTTATCCAAGACCTAAATAGGTAGGACTACAGAGACACAGTAGTGCTCTCACCCTGCAACAGGATCAATCAGGTTTATCCACATCAGGGTCTGTGGAAAAAGTGAAAATTTCTGTGGTAGTTGTGCCACTGGGCACAGTTCCTGGACTCTGGAGGTTTGCAGGAGTTCTCTGGTGTTCTGCTCAGAAACACCAAAAAACCTTCCCTGAGGCTTTCCTGTGCATGACTCTTCTGGCCTGACAGTGCTACTTTGTGTGAGCACAACTGACAGCCACGGGCAGTACTTAGGCCATGTCTGCCTAAGTGCAGCAAACTGTTCAGGTATAGGCATAGGAATTATACTACACAGGATAAAAGTAAAAATCTACTCCCTTACACCTGAGACTGCAGTGCAATTGTGTTTATTCTGAGCTTTGTTTTAGCAGAATCAATATGTACCATTGCATGTTCCCACTTTTAGAAAATCACATTTTATGTCCCCACTTTTAAAAAATTTCCAAAGAAAATGTCAAGGATTGCTTTATGCACACTCCTACATGTAAGAAGATTAAGAACAAGTCTAACTAGTTTTTAGAAAGAATAGAAAACCCAGCATTAATCATCTACCAAGATCCAATGTTCCAACATTTTCTCATTAATTCATGTGCTTGTCTGCCCACCTACTTAAAACCTCAAAATATTTCAACACATAATGAATAAATCACAGGAAGGAATGTAATGAAGTATGAAAGTAAAATAGAATTCAAATATGTCATCCATCAGTTACTAGCTTCACCATAGTTGTGGACAGGCATTTGAGCAAACCATAGAGGAGCATGAGTTTCCTCCTGCTCCTTGTTCCTTCTATGCCAATTCTGAAATACTTTTCTATATTAAAAAAAATGCTGTAATACTGTTAATAATATTCTGTATGTTTTGTGCACACTGATACAGCTCATTCATTCCCAGTGAGTTTCAGTTAAGTCATTGCCAGCCTTGCAGAAAATACAGGAACAGTTTTGCTTCAAATGCCCATGAATTTATTAACAGTTTTACCCTCAGTAGTCAAACATACAGAAAATAAAAAATAGCATTTTTTTAAAGAAAATTTATCATCAGCTTCCATTTGCCTAGCTTTCACCCCCTTGCCAGCTTCCCTCTAGCATCCTATAAAATCCTGACAGCAGCACGATGGCCAGGGAAAGGCACTGGACCAGTGAGATGGAGCAAGGAAGCCAGAGAAAGGAACAGCACACTGTTTTTTCCTTGTCATCTCAGAGGAGCAAGTGAACAAGCTGTGCTGGCTTTACTCCACAGACACCAAGAAGCAGCCAAGGCCATCTCCATTTAAGGGGGACCTCCCCACCACTGTGCATTCTTGTGAACAACAGAGGATAGGCAAATAAAGGCCAAAAATCCAATGTCCCAATAATTTAAGGCAGTGTAAACATTACAAGGTTGTACAAGTAGACAATAAGACAACTGATTTAAAGCATCAATCACTAAAAGCCAGCCTCTTAAAAAAGAAATAGTATTTATTGTCAGATAATTAGAGCAAATACTTTCAGATTGGATCTGTGGACAAAGGATTTTCTTCTGAGAAGAAAGCAGACTGTCAATTATTTTCTTTTTGCTGTCAGACTGTAAAAACATTGACTACCCTTAATTCACTTGCTTTTACAATAGCACAGTCATTAATTCCTCACCACACCTATATGTATTTTCTCTTCTATTCATACTCAAAAGCTATAGTCATCTATATGACACCTCTATGGAAAGCAGCTCTAACCTGAAGAGTATTAAAAAGGAAGATAAGCCTGATAATTTTTCTAGTTTAGATCTATCTCCATTTACATTTTAAAACCCAAAAGGAAAGTGTATCTCTGAGGAACAACTTGTATCCACACCGTTGGAGGGGAATGCACATCTACATTAGCATTTTTACTTGTATCAGTTATTGAAGCCTGCCTACTTATCTGTACTCACCATGCTTCTGGTTCACATTGTGGAAATTCCCTGCACATGCCAGCTTGAATACTTTTAGATGGGACTGAGCTTCCACAGCTACTCCAGGGAATTGCATAAATATCCAGTATACAGGGCTGAAATAGAGCTACATCATATTAAAACTCCAAAATACACAGCATGGGAAAAAAACATTTCACAGCAAGTGTTTCACATTACAGATCCATTTTAATTGCACTGCTCTGTCTGCTGATGTGGATGTACTTATCTGTCTGAAATTCTTGGAGGCGGAAAGCTAAGCTTTCTAAAGTTGCCCTTTTTTTTTTTTTTTGCCTTGCCTACATCTATGGGCTCAAGTGTTGTTTTAAAAATTAAACTCGATTTGTGATTCTAAATACTCACTCCAAGTTCTATCCTTTTTAAAGGTTATCTAGAAAACTACCAATAAAGCTTGAAATTTTGAACTCTGTTTCATCACATTCAGAGGGAAAGCCATGGACAAACATGGACAAAAGTTAGCGCCTGATATGAAGCTGATGGGAGCTATTTTAAGTGCACTTCTGAGAAGTGCCCCAGTAGGACATCCCTTTCAAGGCCTTCAAAGAATTTGGAAATGAAGGTGTTTGAGACAGCAGGTGTAACCAATTAAACTTTTATTCATGATCATTTACATATGACTAAAAATGTTCACTACAAAATGCAAACTTATAGTTATCATGTATTCAGCAGTAAAAACAGTTGCCTCTTCATAGTAAAGCACCAAAGCACATAACAGAAGAGTCAGAAATGGATTTAATTTATCAGTTTTTCCCCTCACAATGTACTTGACAAAGCTGAAGATTTTATCGAAGGCTAAAGTTCCAGAACGAATTCTACAGTCACCTGAGTGTTTGGCAGGAACAGTACTATTTAGTAGCAGTTACTTTTTTCTGCCTTTTTTCACAAAAATGAGACAGAGATAATTAGGCCAAACATTGAGTTTCATTTCACCTGAATTTTTCAACAGGAGACAAAGAATAGTTTGCTAGTAGGAGTACCTACAAAAACTATAAGAGCAGTTGTCAAAAAAAAATGGAAAAAAAACCAGCTCATTATAGCTGATTGGTAGGGCCCAATCCACTTCCAGGCACCTATAACTCCACTCAGTTTTACTCATTACATTTAACTTGCATTTCATTCATACTACATTTAAAAAGACAACATGATTTTTTTTTTTAAGTTAAGTTGTGTACATGTACACAGTTTTGGTAGTTTCTTAAAGCTGTAAAATCTCTAAGTAAAGAGAGTCCTAATAACCCTATTACAGATTAAAGAGAAATAACCAGAATCAGTGTTACATACAAAATAATATTCTACCACAGAAACCAATACAGTTATCAAGTAACTCATTAGAGAATAAAAGTGTTATACAAAAAGAGAAATGGTGCCTTTTTATCACTTCACAGCAGCATATAAGAAGGCAACATTAAGAAAAGTGCACAGCAGAAAAAGAATTGTTTCATTTTCTGAAAAACTTGAATTTTTCTTCAGACATCAGGCTTTTCTCCAGGAACATATTGGGTTAGGATTGCTTATATTTTCTTCCAGAGAAGGTATTCTCTTCTTGCATCACTTCTCAGTAAGGCGCTTACTCCGACATGTAGGAACGATACATCAGGGCCACGATAATCGCTGCTATTGCTGGGATCACCCAGTTGGACCACGAACTAAAGGGAAGTTTTTGAAAAAGCAGTTTAGGAAGTGACAAACAGCAAGTTAGAGGAAATAAAAAAAAAAAAAGTCATTGCTTAAGGAAGTCCTTTCTAGCCACTCCAACAAAAAATTCAGGGCAACGTAACACCTGGATTGGCCAGTAATACTCCAATACTTCAAATTCAGGGCAACGTAACACCTGGATTGGCCAGTAATACTCCAGACAAGGGAAGAAGCTTGTACAGTAAGGCTTTGTACTAAAGCTTACAAAGAAGTTTGCTTACTAGAGAAGAGTAAAACCCTAGGCGCATTTAAAGTCATGGTGTGCTGCCCAGAATGTCATTCATTCAAAAGCTATTTAAGAAGCAGCATCACATGACTCTTCTAAGCACCCAAAATCCCCACCCAGAGGGTCATAAAAGAGTCCTCCAAAGTTTCCACAATGGGCAAATGTCAGCAGGATAGAAGTCCACAAAGTTTTTGATTCAGTGGTATTCCAAAGTGTTTTGCAACCCCCTCCCAATTCTGACATATCTTCCTTCTTACACACAGAATCCTCTTATTTCCCTTAGATGCAACAGCAGAAGCAAATTTTAAAAGCAAGGCATCCATGTCCATAAAATAGTTGGCAATGGCACGAAGAGTCTTCCCTTCATGTGGCAGACTCCAGAAATAAAGGCCTATGCCAAACAAACCATTTGGTAGATACTGACACCTGCCAATATGAGAGAAGTATCTACCTATCAAGCTGCCACACTTGTAAAGTGGCACATAGATGCCAACTTGGACTTTACAAAGAACAGAAATTTTCATGCACCACCCCCTGATATCTCAGCTTCCAGCAGATAAAAGCTATTCAGCTTTTTAACCTTCAGAAAATTATGAGGAACTTCAAGTTTGACATCAGATGTCATACTGTACCTGGAAGTAGACTGAACAGTGGTAATAAGAGTTTCCTGGAAAGCAAAGCATAAGAACATATTTACTTCAGGAAGACAAACCTCTCCACCTTAACTAGCCCCATAGTTTCTCAAAACTCATCAAATGAGACTAATTCAGAAACAACTCAGTGCATGCATTAGGGAAGCATTTTCTCCTAATTCCTACAGCAGCTCTAAACCTTGTTGTATTACAAGCTAGCTGGTAGCAGTTCCTGTAGCTAACATTGCATCAAGTTCCTAAAACATTATCAAATATTTTGCTGCAAGTTTTCTATGAAGCTGACTCCAACCTTGGGTTACATTTGAAAAGTTTCAGTCATCTTCAAGACAAAAATCCTTTCCTTGACTAAAATCAAATTGAACAAACTTGGAATTAATTCACAAATATGTTTTATATCAAAACTACATAAAGAAATATACTAATTTACATCTACAAGGCTTATTAAACTCAGGGGTTTTAGTGTGGTATTTCAGATTGTGTAAGAATCAGTCAAATTTTTATAGCTGTTCCTGATGCTAATTTGGACTTGTTCTGTTTCCACAGAAAAAGCAGCACTACAAGGCCAAATACCAGCTGGGTACATGTGCACAATTTATATGAATACTTATTAATTTGAGTAACACTACTTATGTATGACCCTAAGTTTATTTTAAAAATCCAAGCATTAAAACCCTACCTAAATTTAGTGGTGCACAATCCATCACTGCAAAATTACTTGCTTTGGTACCAGAACATTTGCAATAAATTTAAAGAAAGAAAGATTTTGCTATAGTATAATGCCATTACACTTAGTAACCCCCAGGTATGAAGCCACACAAAGAAAATAATGGTTAAGGGAAAGAACAATTTGAAGCAGTATCAACAGGTCTAAGATTTAGAACCTGAAACATCACACTTAAACTGAATTATTTCTTTTTCTGGGGGTGTACCATTCAAACACGGACAGTATGTCACTGTTTGTAATGCCCAAAAGACACAATGTGGCATTTCAAGAAACACACTTACTGCTGGTTTCTGAAGCTTGGATCTATCATCCTGCAAGAGAAAAGAGCAAGGAACATTTAGACAAAATCTGAAGCACTGAAAACCAAACCAAATTCACACAATTTATCACTAAATTCAGTTTGCAATTCATTCTGTTAATGGGTAAATATTTTTCCCTAGGTAAAAACAGACTTGCAAGAGAGCAGATGTCAGTGATTGATTTTGAGCTAACATAAACAAGATCACTTCCTTAAATAATACTTCCCAGTATGCAAGGAAGAAGTGAAACCTGAGCCTCCAACAAATTTCATTATTCTTTGTGCTCATGTTTTCACCTCTCCTGTGTCTCTGGAGAGTACATAACCTTAGCTTATACATTGACTGCAATCATATTGATTCTGCTTACTGTACTTGTACTATCAGATAAAGTCAACTAACTGGTTGTGCCAATGTCCACTGGACCAAAGGTCCCAAAATCTAGGGATCTTTCATAAACTCTTAAGTTCTGCTTGGCACAGTCACATCCATTACAAAAAAGGCCCAACAGTATATAAGCCTGTCAGTGCTGTGTCTGTACATAACACTACCACACTGTTTGTTTCATATCAAGTGAAAACAGGCACTTGCCAAACAAGGAACAACTGGACTGATACACATGTTAAGAACAACATTAGTGGCATCACAAATAGATGGCAAGCCTGCAAAGCCACAAAGGCACAAATGTGCATCAGAGCCAAATCACTTCTCATTAGGACAAGCTACACCAGTAATATTTATCAAGAGATGACCTGAGACAAACAAGAGCAGGAATCTTACTGTGAAATAGGCTACTCAATATAGTGATTTTTACTCCAAAACATACATGAAACAAGAGGAATAGAGAAGAGGCAGGAGTGGGCAGTAAAGTAGAGCAGATGGGCACTCTAGCAGCCTAAACCTCCAAACAGTGATTTTCAACTATTAAGATGCAAGAGAGTTTAATTGTGGCCTAGCTGAAGGAAGCCAAGGCAGCAGCTCTGTAGCTAGAAAGAAATACTTCAAAACTTGAGACAGCAGGAAGGTGCTCATTAAAAGTACAGGAAATGGGATGAACAGTATAGAAGAGAGGATGTGACAGATGATCCAGTGGGAACTGATCATAAAAAACCCTGACAACAGGAATTGGGAACCATGATACAGCTAAAAGTGGTAGGAGACAGAGGGGAAGACAGAGCAAGAAACTAGAAGTTCAATGCTTTTAATAAGCCTTTTCTAGGCATACATATAGAGCCAGGATTGCACCTTTTGATGCAGGTGGGAGCCTGAAAGATAGGTATTTACAATGCTGAAGGGATGAAAGTGGTTGTTCAATAGTCACTCTGCATAGTGGCATAAGAAAAGGTCTAGACATTCTGACAATCCAACCTTCAGGGTTACAGAGTTTCATTATAAAGCTGACAGTGTATACCAGAAATGACACTATTCCATGTTCTGTTTATTCAAGAACTAATCTGTAAGGCAATTTAAATCACCAAAAGATGTGACTATCCTTATGCTACACTAATCAAATCCCTTCACATTGGTGGAACTATCTCCAACCTCCTTCCACAAACAGCTGCAGGACTGACATCCAACCAAACTAGTAGTTCTTGATTTTGAAGTAATTACCAGACAAGTAACTAGATGCAAAAGCAGTATTGCAAACACAAAAGTAAGGATACACTCATATACTCACAGGATGAAGTTCCCCAATAATAAAGGATTCTGACAGTGTCCTTGCATCTGTGGAATGGCCAACATCTTCAAAGTTCTCAGTAGCATCTCCCCCAGCTTGCTCCCTAAGGACCTCTTCACCTCCTGGGTGCTGTAAATTTTAATGAGTTTGAATTTGTTACTGAAATACATATCAAATTCTAGAAATGGAAATTCTGCATTTTTACATTTCTAAAATGAAAAAAAAGCAAAATCACCTGCTGGACTTTCTAAAGCAAACATAAGCCTTTCTAAATAACTAGAGAGCTTTATGTACTTTCTGAAGCCAAAACCAAGGAAGCTAAGTCTCTATGTCATTGGCAAAGAAGCAGTAAGAGGCATTATCCCTTGCAACTAAAGCACTTGGAAAGTTGTGTAGGAATTAGTCTGTATTTTAACAGCACAACTATCATCTGAAGTTACATTCTGTGTTTTCACTTCTTTGGGAAATGAAGCAATATATGCTTTATACAGCAGAAGGATAAAAGCCACAAGGATATTAGCTGCAGCAAGAACATTCCAGGAAGATAAAAAAAATCTGTTCACAAGATGTGAATCAAGCATTGGCAAAACAAGCTGGCAAGGTGCTAAGGAATCTGACCTTCTAATTAATCCTGGTTTGAGCAGAGAGGTGGGCCAGATAAGTTTAAGGGTCCTTTCCAAAACAAATTATGGTACAAATATCAAGAGAGCTCCTTTGGAAGTGATTAAGCACAACTGAAAGCTCACTCAAGACCCTAGAATAGCAATTTGGTTTTCATAGACTATGGAATCCCAAAACCACATTGTTGATAAAACCCCTGAGATACAGAGAAGTCATGTCTCCCAGGATCTTCTAATACCTCAATCCATCACCATTCCCTTAACATAAGCCCCTGCTCTCCATTAACTTTTATTCTTCCCCGGGATGCACTTTGGGGGTTTTATGAAGTACATTTTTATCTATCAAATAACTCTGCTTGAATATACTGCAAGATCTATCACATCTTCTATTTCAGTGCATTTCCTCAGCTCCCAGTTACTTATTATGTAACAGGTAACACACCACAAAAATTCGCCACTCAACTTTCAAGCAGGAAAGTGTTACATAAACATTGGGAATGATTAGGTAAACAAGTTAAAAGCACTTATTACTACTGCCTTGGATTAAGGCAACCATGGAATAGATATTAGCACTTTACCAGTAGCAGAGAAGACACAAGGCTTTTGAAGCTCAGTTCAGTTTTTAATGCTTCTGAGTACAAGATATAACATTATGGAAATGGGCAAAATTTCCACAATTTAGGGTTATCTTGTGGGGAGCACAGCTCACCAAAAAGCCCACAGGTTAAAGAAATAGCATTTCTACTAGTCTAGGCAATACAGGTTAGCACTTACTTCAAATCCTCCTATTAATCTGATATCAAAATTTCTCTTCTGACAAAACCAGTATTTCTTCATGCAGTTGAACTAAACTACTACTATGAATTTCCAGCAGTACCAGCACTCCATAACTTGATCTTAACATTAAAGGCAGACATTTATTTTAACAGATCAAGGAAGTTGAGGAGAAAAGAAAAAAACTCATCACAACACTTTTTAAAGAGCCAAGACACCACAGTTATTAGGGTAAAGGATCCCTACCATGACTAAGCAAAAGCAAGATTAAGCAACTGATAGAGAGATTAGACACAACAGCTGAGCCAAAAAAAAAGTCAGAAGGGTACAGATTATGCAAGCAACCTGCAAATATGTCATGCTCACCAAAATCCTGTCCTTGGATCCATTCGGTAAGTATTCAGGGAAAGGACTGGACAAAAGTTGAGGGAGCACTCAAGTTCAATGCCTTGAAATAGCACTTAAGAAGCTGAACTTGGTTCTAACCAGCACTCCAAGACATTACCTCAACTAAATCTTCACAGAATTTCTTCAGCATTGTAGGTTTGGGCTTTTAATACCATGCTAAAGAATTGTGCCCTGCCACGTAGAAAAACATATGTACCAACTTCAGCAGAAAAGGTGGCACAACTCCTTGGAAAACATGCTTGACAAACAAGATATCAACAAGCAGCAAAAGGCCCCAAAGTTAAACCACCCATAAAGCACCAGCAGCATAAGCAGTATGTAAACTCCTACTCATGCACTGCAATGAACCCAAACCCCACTCATACAAGCACATAAAATACCAGTTACTCCAGCAAGTCATGAAGGTCACATGGTTTACACTACCTCACCAAAAACATTTGCCATCCAGCCAAACAAGTGGATACCTACCAACATAATTGTATCTGCATTAAAATTACTTCATGGACTACTTTAACAAACTACTTGCATGTTGCCAGCTACAGAATGATCATGTACTAACTTGTGCTCCCAAATCCCTCCCTGGTGCACTACAAAGCAATCACGTAGCAGTATGGGCAGCACCACAGAGGCACTCCAGCTTCTCTGTAGAACTAGTTTTTTGTCTAATTAGCAACTGATCCTTCTGTCTACAATACCACAACACTAGTATCAAGACAGTAACTGCAACCAATCTCTCTACCAACCCTCTGACTGACTATCACAGATAAGCTGAAGAGGACAAATTCACCCTGACCTCTGCCACTACAGCTGGAAAACTGTTAATTTTTTTTTTTAATGAAATGAGCAAGGCTAAGTATGGAGAATCACACACAGAATTCCAAACTGAAGCCATCAACCAGGTAATGTTAATTATAACCTACTAGACATTGATGGAAGTACTGTGAAACTAAACACTGCTTTTAGATGCCTCCTCTGCTTAATGATATGAACTTACAAACCCTCTGTAAATAACTAGTACATAATACATGCAATTAATTAAAAGATTTCGCCTCCCCTAATGAAAGGGAGCAACTGTAATGTCTCACACAAAGGGCAAGAACTGACTCTTCTATCAAAAAATGAGCATCTTTCACGGTTGGATGAGTTTCCCAAAGCTTGTTTATACAAGGCTTTTGTTCATGATTCTGCCTGGTAAAGAAAGCCTGCTACCAGAACTGCTACTTTAATGAAGATCCTCTGGACAGACCCTGGAACTGGAAAGCCCACAAGGCTATACAGATAGTGACTCCTAAACTAAAATCCTGTTGATAAAATCTAAGAGTTCTTGTAGGTAAAATTGTAGCTCAGGTGAAACGAAAAAGCTTCTGATGATAAATTAAGACAGCCTAGCTCATGCCTAGGACATGGCCCATATGATAAATAGTCTAAGCTATATGCATAGCAAATACCCATACAGAGCCAGCACTAGCACAGAGCACAGATGAATTCCTAACAGCAGCACATTAGAAAGTTTTAGATAAGGCAAATATGCAGTTAATCTTGTTGCTCTCATCTGGGTCAAAAGTCCAACTCACCTCATCTGAATACCACCTTTTCTCCCCTTGCAACGGTCATGCAGATTTCTCAGTGTCATAGTTCAAGACTCTATTAAACCATAACTACCTTAATTTGCAACTCCTGTGCCCTCTCCCTTCCTATACTGAGGGAATGAAATATAGGGTCTAATTTCACTTTCAGGAAGATCAGCAAAGGTCTCCATTAGTGACAGTCTCAAACTCAGATTTCTCTTTCTGCACTACAGGAATGAAAAGCAGAAAGGGGCCAGTGACAGAGCCAGGAACACCCAGAGAAACTCAGCTTTATTATGCAGGACAAACAGACAAATGCTTGCTTATTTCACGGGCATTTTCATGTAGCCTGAAAAGAGTCCTCCAAATTATTTCCATCATCTCTTTAAATTTGAGGACAGAAACAGACAGCTCACGTAAAATGTCAGGAGCCTAGGAAAGAAGATCTCTCTCTGAAAGTGTATTTTTGAAAACTATCATTAGGCTTTTAGATGAAGTGCAAATGCAATACCCAGAAGCTTGGTGCCTGCCCTGATTTCAGCTGGGATAGAGTTGCATTTTCTTCTTGGAGGCTGGTACAGTGCTGTGCTTTGGATTCAGTGATATATGAGAACAATCAGTGATAACACACTGACACTGCAGTTGTTGCTAAGTAGCCCTCACCCTAATTCAAGGGCTTCTCAATGTCCCATGCTCTGCCAGCACGAAGGTGCACAGGAAGCCAGAAAGGAGCATAGCCAGGACAGCTGATCCAAACTGGCCAAAGGGGTATTCCATACCACAGAATGTCATGCCCAGTATACCAGCTGCAAGGAGTTGGCTGAGGGCTGCAGCTTGCTGCTTGGCAATGGGCTGGGCATTGGTTAGCATCTCTTTTTGGCTCCCTTTTTATTGCAATTATTATATTTTATTTTATCTCTGTTATTAAACTGTTCTTATCTCAACCCACACATTTTATCTTTTTTCCTCAATTCCCTTCCCCATCCCACCAAGAGGCTGTGGGGAGCAGTGAGCAAGGGGCTGCACTGAGGTTAAACCCCAACAGTGCCCATTTCCTGACTTACAAAACAGTTATATGCGAAAATCTGCAAGCTGTAAGTGCCAAGATGTGCTATTTCTTAAAACATTTTCAAATTCTCCTGCAAGCTTTATCAGAGCTTGAGGAAGCATTAACACTGGATTTAATCCTCAGACTGCAAGGTTCTGCAGGAACAGTTCCCATGGTTCACTGGCAGACTCCAAACGTGCCAATAAAGGCATCTTTCAATGCAAGCTGATCATGACTATAAACATGCAAGGCATTATGCTACTCATCACAACATCATCACACTGCATGAATGCAACTTATTGCCACAGAGGGGAGAGAACATTTTTCATCCTGACACAATAGAACAATATTTGCTTTTTGCGCTTTATTTGACCTGCATTACAAAACACATTTGGTGGCAGCTGTCCATTCTAGGAGAAGTTTAGGAAAACTACTATGGATGCACAAGTTCATACCGTATGAAAAAAAAAAAATTACCAATAATGTTTTTGCTGAATTCTTAGACCACCAGCAATTGAATTAACCTAAATAAATCTGTATTAGATCAATATTAAATGAATGCTATAGTTGGCTTCCAGAACAATAAACTCCTCATATATGTAATTATCTACAATACAGATACAGCCATGATACCCTGCTGTGAGTACACATGCCCCAAAATGGGCAAAGGGATATTCCATACCACAGAATGTCACACTCCATCCATAGACTGGGAGGAGCTGCCTGTGAGCCACCAATCACTGCTCAGGAGCAGGCTGGGCACCAGTCAGTGAGTGGAGAACCCATACATGCTGCACCATTTGCTTCTGTTGGGTTTTATACTTCTCTCTCTCTCTCCTTATCATTACCATCATTGTTACATTTACTTTATTTCAATTATTAAACTGTTCTTATATTGACCCACAAAACTGACCTTTTTCTGATTCTCCTCCCCATGCACTGGGCAGGAGGGTGAGTGAGCCACTAAATGGTACATGGGTACTCCATGGGGGTAAACCACAAGACCTGAAGCTAAGGAAAACGTTTCCCAAATCTTCTACAACACAGGTCTGACAGCCTTTAATGACAAACACCAAAGCTTCTGGGTTCAAGAATACTATTTCTTTCCAAGATCTTTTAAATAATGCTTTCCAAAAGCTGAGGTCCCTTGATTTCTTCTCCCAAACTTGGAAAATCAAAGAACATTCAGAGATGAATATTCAAGCTATGAATTTTCCCCAACATCTGCCACTTAAAAACAAAACAAAACAAACCAAAAAAACCCCTAAAACAAAACAAACAAAAAACCCAACCACATAAAAAAAAAAAAAAAAAACAAAAAAAAAAAAAAAACAAAGAAAGAAAAATCAAACTGACTAAAAAAAAGCAGCTGCTGGAATCTTCATAAACCCCATAGATAATATATCAAAGCACACAATTGTTTTATTCAGCACTTTTTCTGTATTTCATATGATCTTTTTTAACCTTGTCCTTTAGGAAGCCAAGCCACTATGGGTCACACCATGCAATGACTCCACTCCCCACACACACATCACCATCCCCAGGCCACTTCCTATCTAACTTCAATCAAGTGTTCACAGAGGTTGATTGTTCCCCAAAGCCACACAAGTTCCACTAAACATCTACAAGCTCCATGAAGACACAACTGCTGGACAGAGGGAGTACACCCTTTAACTACTGCAATGGAGTGAAAAACAGCACCACACTTTCACTTATTAAGCACAAGAGCATCCAAAGTGACTTCAATATTGAAGCACAGTAAAGTTTTCAACTTCATCATTAATAAGAAAATATTTCCATAGGTTAATGCAGTAGCTGAAAAGATGGCTTATTGTTTTAAGACACAGGACAGGTGAGCTTAGCTGCTGCTCCTAGCTCTTCACTCCCCAGTAAACTGATACTTATGTACTACTTGGGAAGAGCATGAGTGAGGTGACACTTTAGCAATCCACCCTTTTTGATACTAGTGGACTTAAATTTCAGTGGCTCACAATAAAGTCTAAAAATATGTTAAGCTTTTCTACTTGGGAAAGGAACTGCAAGAAATACACCTGAGTTTAACCAATAATGCTATTGAAACAGCTAGCATAATCCTCAGTTGGAGTAGGGTTTACTGGATTCTGGAATGAACCAGCAAGAGGCTAGCTTCCATTTCTCCTCAGCTGTCACATGCCTCCGGGTGTCTGACAATATCAAAAGAATTAGCATAACACTTGATAAGTTAACTAAGTACCAAAAACATTCAAAAAAAAGGTTAAAAAGTGCCCTATGAAGTATCTTAATCAAAGAGTTCCATAACAAAAATCACCAGCACAATGAATAGTAAAATGTCAAAGAACTTTCCCTAGGACTGTAGCTTCACCTAAAATATTTCAGGTACCTATTTCCAACAATTTCATTGATTATCTCAGAAGGTGTTGGAAATTACAGCTCAAAACCAGCCACGTTCTATTGAAAGTTGTTTAATGTGAGGTTGAAGTCTGACTTGTGCTTACCAGAGCGTCCCAAGACATCCTCCACGTTGCCCAAAACCCAACTATTTCAATATTTACCAACTGAATTCTTTTGATATGCTACCAAATTATCAATGTTGGCCTAAAGGATGAAAATGAGGTTTTCTTGGAGTAATTTACACAAGGTGACGCCTCTTAATATTTACCAATTTAACCAAATGTACTGAAGGAAGAGGCTGTGCAACTACTTAAACTCAAAAGCTCATTAGATCCTGGATTTTTTTTGTTCAATGTTTTTTTTCCTCGGGCAGGGTTAGGTTTAGGGTTTTTCTGTGGTGTGGGTCTTTTTGTTTCTGCCTCCTCAATGTGGACAATATGTACAAACAATACAATTACGTATCAATCAAAACCACTCAAGTTCCCAAAAGCTAATTCAGTTTTGCAGAGTGCACAAAAAGCTGCATTCTCCTCCAGAGCTTCTATAATTAAATTGGCCCTGACTGCATAACTGTACAGTGGTGTTCACAACTAATGGATGAAGATGAGCAGGGGCAGAGCAAGATGAGAAATAATGAAGGAAGAGCCAGTAGATCAGTTCCATAACCTGCCTTGCTGAAAAGCCAAACAATTTGCATTGACACACAGCTTAAGAATGAAATACTACCTGTGTCAACACTGCCTTTGAAAAATCGCTTGTCAACCCTCCTTTGCAAAATGCTCAGTTTGTCCTTTGAATTGGAAGCGTCTGCAAGCACAATAATCAAGATTGGGCTACAGAACTACTGATGCTTAAAATCTGTCATCTCTCTACCCATCTAAACTGTATTCTTTAAGAAATTCATGTGAGTCTACCATACACTTATTAATTGGTTGTTTTTAGGAAGAATTTCTTCACAGAAAGGGTTACTAGACATTAAAATGGGATACCAAAAGAGGTGGCGTGGCAGTCATTATCCCTGACAGTTTTAAGGAAAGACTGGATGTGGAATTTACCACCATGGTCTAATTGACACAGTGGTATTTGGTCAAAGACTGGACAAGATCTCAGAGGTCTTTTACAACTAAATTGATCCTGTGATTGCTAACTGGCAATACAGAGCAAGGGAGAAAACTCAAAATATCTAAAACCCAGCGCCATTCAATTACTGAAAAAAGTGGTAGTTTTATTTCTGCATTTCCACTGAGTAATGCTTTAGTCCAATAACTAAAATGCTTCGTTATTAACCATGACCATCAATGATTACACCAACTGCTGTCTGCCAGAGATCAAAAACATCAACCACTAACTGGGAGGGAAGAAATCCAACAAAACACAGCCAAAGGAACTGAACTTGCCTCTAGTGCTCTACGCTAGAGCTGGAACTGGTGCAGCTTTGTAGCACCACACTGCCTCCCCACACCGAGCCGATTAGGGCAGCCGTGAGAGCCACCCTAATTTTCTGAACTTGCCTGCCTGATGTAAAGCCACACCTGCCATGTCCTGCAAAAAAAGACCACCCAGGGCTTAAGGCTACTCAGAATGCACTTATTTGGCAGACGGGAGCACAAGCCACTGTGACCAAGAGGCTTTACCAAGGACTGGATATAAGGAAGAACTTTTTTACAGTGACAGGAGGGAGGCATTGGCACAGGTTGCACAGGGAAGTGGGGAATGCCCCATCACTGGACCTGTTCAAGGACCAGGGCTGGGAGTAACCTGGTCTAGTGGAAGGTGTCACTGCCCTTGGCAGGGAGCTGGAATGAGATGAGCTCGAACGCCTCTTCCAACCCAAACTACTTTGTGATTCCGTGACTATTAGAGTAACCCCAAGGTCTGTGATATTCTGCATGTAGTGGTACTTTCCTTCCACTTTGTTCAGTTTCTTTCCTGTTCCATAATACAACTACACTACTACAACTACACTACACTACAAATACACACTACACTGGTGTGAAGAAAGGAGTTGCTGACTTTTAGTTCACACGATAACATGGCTCTGGGTCCCAGCTGCGTCTTCACCTTTAATTCTGTTTTCAGCTAGCACACCAAAGCAAGAACCAGAATTCAGCCCCCCTCTTGGTACCCAAGATTCACACAGCCAGCCCGTCTACCTCAGCCCTCAATACTGACTCCAGTTTTTTCTCCTTGCCCTTATTTACTAGAAATTCAAATCCGAGAGTTTCCGGCGGGCGCGCAGCGGATGACACGATAGCGCAGCCGGGGCACCGCACTCGCGGGTTCCTCCGGCCCGAGAGGCGCCCGGAGCCCGGGCCCGCCCCGCGGCTCCTCCTCCAGGGCGCTATCGCGGCCCCGACGGCGGCTCCCGCGGGCCCGGGCAGGCGGACGGGACCCGAGGGGCCGCCAGCGATCCGGCCCCGTGGGGCTCCGGTGCCCCCAGCGTCCCGGCAACGCGGGCACCCACCTCGTCCAGGAACTTGGTGACATCGTAGATGCGGTTGTGGATGATGATCCAGGTGCTCTGGCTATTGTTGTGTTTCTGCACCTCCTCCAGCCGGTAGTAGCGGCCCCGCCACGACTCTTTCTCGGTCTCGCTGGAGCCCACCATCTCCGGTTCCGTCCCTCACCGCACGCACCACAGGCCGGTACCGCGCACAGAGCCAGGGCCCCGCCGCAGGCCCTATCACCACCCGCCACCGCCCCGCCCCTCCCGCCCTGCCGGCCTTTCATTGGCCGAGGGCAATGCCACTCAAAGCAGACGGGCAGTCTGGAGCCTGCCGTGACGCCCGGGGGCGGGACTTTGCCGTGGTGCCCCGCCTTCTCCCGCCTCCCCGCCGTCCCACGTGACCGGCCGGTGGCGGGCGGGGCGGGGCGGGGGCGGTGCCGGGTCAGCCCCGCCGGCCGCCGTCGGGGCTCCGCCGGTGCCGGGCGCTGCAGTCGCAGCTTCTCTGCTGTCCACTTCCTGGGGTGCTCACCCCAGCGTTCGCCGCCTTTTGCAGCGGCGAGCTGCGGGGCTGCCAGTGTGCGCTGCGACGAGCTAATCGCCGACTTGCAATGTAGAACCGCATTGAAATAGTTTAGGTTGGAAGGGACCTTTTCGGTCATCTAGTTCCTATTCCCTGATATGGGCACCACTTGACGAGATTGTTCAGAGTCCGATCCAGCCTGGCCTTGAACACTTCCAGTACAAGAAAGATAAGGAACTGCTGGAGAGTGTACTCCTAAAGATGTTTAGGAGTCTACAGCACTTCTTATGGGAAGAGACACAGGGAGCTGTCAGACTCTTTTCAGTGAGACAGGACGAGGAGCAATGGCCGTAAACTAAAAAACAAGAAGTTTCACCTTAACGTCAAGACGTTTACATTGAGAGTGGCAGAAATGGGCCGGTCGGGGCTGCCCGGGGAGGTCGTGGAGTCCCTCTCTTTGGAGACATTCAAAACCGACCTGGACGTGTTCCTGTGAAGCCTGCTCCAGGTGACCCTGCCTTGCAGGGGAGCTGGACTAGATGATCTCCAGAGGTGCCTTCCAACCATAAGAATCTGTGATTCAGGCTCCCCGGGCAGCCTGTTCCAGTGCCTCAGCACCCTCTCAGTAAAGATTTTTTTCCCTAACATCTAAGCTGAATTATCCTGGTTCCGCTGTGGTAAAGCCGGCTGGCGCCCCGGCTCGGCCAAGAGCTGCCTGTGCCCGGCTAAAGCGCCTTTGCCATGGGCACACGTAGCGCCGGGCGCGGGCTGAGTTACACCCGGACACACCGGGGCTCTGCCGGGGCTCTGGCCGGCAGTCACAGCACCCGCCCGATCACCCTGCCCTCTCCTGCCGGTGTCCCAGCAGGCAGGGGCTGCCCGGGACGTCACACACCCTCGCTGATCCCGGCAGGCAGTAGTGCCCGAAGGCGGGAAGCGCCGCTTTTCCCGCGCAGCCCGTGAGGCGATCCCGGCGGGAGCGCCCCTGCCACAGGCGCTTCCTCACAGCTCCTCGAAACCTCCCGGCCGCCGCGCGAGTCCCTCGCCCCGCCTTGGGAGAGTTCGCTCCGCGGGGCTTGGAGAGAGGCTTCCCCGTGGCACTGCCCTGCTTCGCTGCCAGGTGGGCTGAGGGCACAGGGTGCAGTGCCTTCCCCTTCTCTCGGGGAGGCTCTGTCACCAATCCAGCATCCTGTTTCCTGCAGTTTCGGCCGAGGTAAAATATGTTTCCTTTACTCTGGTCTCAGATGTGTCCGATGGCTTTGTCTGTATTTCATGCCCCACATCCCCATGTCACATCCATGCACAACTTGGGTGCCTCAGCAGCAATAGCCCCATGGACGCACTCAGGCGTGATTATAGGCTGGATTTGTGGGGAGATTTTTTTTTTTTTGTAGCATAAGACTTCCCCAGTGTGACCTGTCACCCTTCCTGAGAGCTGGTGCTTAACTTCTGCACCCTGAGCCTGAGTGCAGGACAGCTTTGTATTTCATGGATTGTCACCACCATCTTCAGATCCTGCCTCAACTTTCAGTCAGCCTGACAGTAAGAGTAGCTACTCTCCCTCAGATTGGTGTTCTTCCCAGCTTTGATAAGGAGGTTCTTCATTCCGACTCCAGGTTGTTACTGAAAATTGCAAACAGCGCTGCCGAGCTCTGGGATTTCGTTGCCTGTTCAGACAGAAGAGACAGGGATAGCCGCTCCCTGACTGATGCTCCCTTCAGCTTAGCAGGAGCTCAGGTTTCAAGTTCACGTGCTGTGATTATTGGCACGTAAAGGTCCCATTTCTCCCACACACGTACAGTCCCCTCGAACCGAGGGCGGTTGTGCTCATTTCCCATGATTTATGTAGCTCTTTCTTAACTGGCAGCTCTGTGTTAACTGCTGCTTTTCTCTTTATCCTCTCCCCTGAAGGGAGAAGTCTTTTGCAAGCACTCTGTCCCATTAGCTTTTAAGATGTCTGAGAAGATTTAACTTAGGCTTAATACAGCAAATTGTTCCCACGGGGGAGTTATCCTCAAGCAGCAAGCAGGGCACTGGAACATTGCAGCATGTGTTTTACAACATCTCTGCCACAAAAATCCCCAATAAACATTATGAAAGCCTCGGACTCAGACTTTCCTTTCCATGGTTGCAAAAAGACAAGATTTTTTTCTCTCTCTTTTTTTTTTTTTTTTTAATTGAACTTTCCCTTGAGGTGTACCTTTTGGAATTCTCTGATGAAGTGATAGTCTTGGCTGGCATTTTAAAAAAACCCTGCTTTTCGTGACTGCTGAAAAACATTGAAATGTGTTTTCCTTTAAGGGTAAAAAATAAGAAAGCATTATTTTCTTTTAAATGACAGTTATAAAACACTCACCTTGTGATTTTTCTTGGATATGACGGAGGTTAATCTGTTTGAAGTGTTACGCTGTAAAGAAAGCAAAGGAAAATCAGAACAGCAAAGTTATTTTTGACATTGTTCCTCAAAATATGATTCCAGTTCATAATTGTTTTATCAGAATTTACAAAATTGCTTTTCAGTTGAATACCTGGTGAGTTCACAAAATTTAGGATCAAAATATTTATTCCTGTCCTCACTGTGCCAGTGAGACCATTTCCTAAAATTGTTTTAGGGTTTGGAGAAGGGGGAAATATAAATATACTATAAAAACCAGCTTTTAATATAAAAACCAGCTTTTTCTGGTGTGCAGTGTTTGTTCCTGGCTTTCTAACTACCTGTCTTTCTTTGAAAGACTTTGATTGAAAAAGGTGATACAGTTAAAGGGTGTATTTTTCTTCAAGTAATGAAATGTTAGATTTTTTTTTTTGTCATGAATGTTCTACCTCATTACACTGAGCCCGGCCTGTGCTGCAGGGCAAAGGAGCACACCACAGGCACTCAACAAGATGGGTAATATGAATTAATGTTATTCCTATTCACATGTAATTTGTTAGTACTGCATCAAATAATCATAGTCTTAGTCTGAAATTCTGATTCTTTGGGTTCTTTTTGGTGGTTTTTAGGAAGTTCCAAAAATGATAGAGTTCCATTGCATGTCCTCAGCTAGTATGGAAAGGATCATACATGTACTCTGCATTCTTTTGTCCTTTTATTACTTTGAATATTTTGGCTCTTGCAAATAATTATTTTTTCAAGTATAATGCCTTACATATACAAAAAGGATATTCAGCTGTTTTAGTTGACCAATTTATATTTTCTCTATATTCTTAATCAAAAGAGAATTGATTACTCATTTACCTAATAACATATAAAGTTCTGTAAACAAACACCTGCCTTACAAAAAAATTTTTTTTTTTTTATTTTAAGACCCAAGTGCTGCTTGGGGGCAATCAGCAACATACCATGAATAGCACCAGACACCAGCCTCTGTTCTTTGTCAGTCTGCCTGAGCTGCAAAAACTCTGTGCTGCTACAGTAACACTGAGTTCTCAGATACCAGAAACTGAGACAAGGAGTACACAGATAAAGACTTGCAGGTAAAGAGTTTTGAGGGCTATTTTTTCCAGAAGCTGCTAGTGGTTATTATTCAAATATTTTATTAGCCGTACTAGAATTTACTGTAATAAAATCAGCAAAATTCTTATCACTGGCAAACAGTACAGTTTTGTACTGGAAAAAAAATAGCTTTTTTTTTTTCCCTTGGGCATGGGGAGTTGCTTTCTATTGGGGAACACAACCAAAATTTTTATTATGTTTTAAATTTCACAGGCTAAAACTAAAGAATATGCATACTTCAAATTAATAAATGGTTAAAATTAATCTGTGTTTACCTGCAAAGCTGGGATGCTTCATGTAGTTGTGACTAAGTGAAAAGACTATTTGGAAAGCTGATGTAAGGCTCCTTAGCATTCACCAAGCATTATGTTATTCCCTTTAAAAGAAAAGGGGAGAAATGAGAAATTCTGCCAAAAGGAACACTTTTGGAGAGCTCCATTTGTGTGCCAAAGCCCTTTAATCTTTATCTTAGACCATTGTGGGTCATCTAGAGCAAGTAACTTGAACTAATCCAATTTATTGTACTAAACCAATGGAAACTGATTAAAAGTAGAATGTATTTTGTTTACAAGAGGTAAGGAAAATAAATTTAAGCAGAGAAAATAATATTTTTAATTTCTTTCTCACCTCTTTCATAGACAATTATTATTCCTGTATCAAGAGATCCTTTCTGCACCTGTTATGGGGACACTGAATCAAATTTCAGTTGTGATGGCGGTCAGTATCACTGTGTAAATAAGTATCTGTATTACAGACTGCTCTGCAGGTGAGCAGAGTGCACATCACTCAAAAGAGAGAAGCAGCACTATGTTTTATTGAGGTAACATAATAATTTGACAGAGTTTGATGGGTGTGGTGGAATTTAGCAAAGTTTTAACAGTGTTCTGACAAGGTTCAGGAAGTTTGATGCCAAGGTTTACCTTAATAATGACACACGGAGGAGCCATGAAAAGGAAAACTGAGTTAGAATGACTCATAGAGAGACCGGAGGTGCAAAGGGTAAAGAGGGCCCTCGTGTGGAGACATGAGGTTCAGAGTGGATCCCTTTTTGGAATTCCTTTTTGGAGCCTATGTGTGGCTGTACCCAATCTTTGTCTCAGAGTTGGTCAGCAGTTCATGCCTAATGGGATTATCCCTACAATGTTTATAGTATCTGAGTATCTGCATGGATTAGTAATTCTTCATAGCATGAATTCAGCATGCTT